AAGAGTCTTTGAAGAGGATTTACATGTACATGTAGCTTAAGTTTAAATGACTGCTAGATTTGTACTATAAACATTTAGATTGCGAGCTCAATATTTCTATGCATGATACTTGACTCGGACTGCGCCCTTGTCAACTACAGTATCACGCTATAGAAATCTCGAGCTCACAATCTAATTGATAAATACAAATGTAGACATCTCGGGCTAATAATCTAATTGTTAGATTTAATTATAATTATATGGCTAGTTCACTGCTCACTGGATACAGCAGTCCTGTTTCTATTCTTGGCTTGGGTCACTGTGATGATTGTTCTTGGATGACACACATTACTTTCACAATGCCAGTGGCAATTTACAAGAGTATTATTTCACTTAGTACTACCAAGTGCAATATATATCAACTATTTGTAAAGATGTTAAATAATAATGTAGTATTAGAGACAGCCTGATGAGCCACCATTTGACTCAAATAATAATAATAATGATGCAGACAATAACCACAGTAGATAGTTACACAGGTCTTGGACATTAATACTTACAAATTTAATAATTAACAGTTGACAAGAAGACTGTGAACTGTACATGTAGGTTTCTGACCAGCAACTAATATTTGCCTATTGATGAAATGTTCTAAATTTTGATATTAAACCAAAAAATTAGGTGTTCTTATAATCTGATATTCTAGCTGAAAAATTATTGTGATGTTGTGTTTTTCATTATTTTTTAGCCATTGCTGATGATGACGATGAGACTGTTGCAATGATCAAAGAATTGTTGGAAACAAGAATCAGGTAGTTTTTCACTAATAATCTCTTACTAATTTTTATAAGAATTTATAACCTCGATAACAGCAGCTGGTAATGAGCCTAAATAATTTATTGCATGATAGAAACTGAAGTGAAGTTCCACTCTTGTCTTGCTAACAACTGTACCATTCTATATCGGTTTGACAAACGGAGTGTCTGCCATTGAGATGAACATGCGCAACTATTAGCAGAAATAAAATGATGATGATGAGTGATGATGATGCTTGTCACAGCTTTTCAAACATTTGAAGAAAACTGCGACATTCTGCCTGGAGAGTGGAGAGTTTGTGCGTTGATAACTGGACGATGTATTTGAAAAATAATTATTATCAAATTGCCGAGGAGATAGAACATACAAACTGTGAGATTCATCAAATTGTCTTTCGTTTTTCTTTCTTTCTTTCCTTCTTTCTTTTTTCTTTTTTCAAACAACTGTTTAATTAAGTATTGATGAGTTGAAATGTTGCTGTTCAACAGACCTACTGTCCAAGAAGACGGAGGGGATATTCTTTTCAAGGTTTGTAGAAATTTTGTGTTTTATGTTCAAATTGGGCACATGGTCTACAGAAATGACGCCAGGCTCTTAGAATTGCAGAAGTTTAACTTTCGTTGAGTAATGATCATTGATGGTTCAAGTGCAGGAACCACTATCCATGGATTTGGTCAAATTGACCTTGACTAGAAAGAACTTGCAATTTTTGAAGCGTGGCTTTAGTCTAGAGCTCCTTAGGAAGATATCTCAGATATATAAAACTCAGCTCTAGACAATATAGCCCCTGTTTTATTACGACCCAGAATTGTAAAAAGAATAGGCAGATGAGTGTAGAGGCACGGTGACCTCACGGTTAGTGCACTCAATTCCAGATTGAGCTGTCCGGGTTCGAGCGCTGACTGGGGACATTGTGTTGTGTTGTTGGGCAAGACACTTTACTTTCACAGTCTCTCTCTCTACCCAGGTGTATAAATGGTAGTGACGGATTTAATGCCGGTGGTAAACCTGCGATGGACTACAATCCCATCCAGGGGGGAGTAGAAATACTCCTAGTCGCTTCATGCTACAGAAACCAGAGATAAGCTCCGGCCTGGTGGGCCACTTGGCTCGTATGCAGACTTAGGCCGATGAGTGAAGTCAATTAGTATATTTTGTCAAAGAATTTATTTTTTGACAGTCTGCAAGACATGTAATTTACAAATGTGATAAGCTACATGTAGTTTCCACCTCGTGACTTTTGTATTCGCTGTTCTAAAAACTTCGGCAACAAAACTAGAAGAGTTAAAGTTTACTAATTCATGGCATTTAAAAATATTCTTATCAACTATGCTATTTCATTTCTGTAAATACACCTAAGGAAAACAGAAATCTATCTACGTTTCCGGTCTGTCGGTATCCGGTTTTCGATGTTCAACTAACCCTAAAATGATTGATACTGTCGCGTGCGTGCGTTGCTTATCCTAATTTTCTCGCTTAAAACCGCAAGCCAAGGTTGCCGCGGCCAAATAATCGTCGGCAGAGTGGCGGCTCTCTCCACTGTCCGAGTCATAGGGGGCTTGGTGCTCGGTCACGCGGTTGTTAACAGGTGAAGTACTGGAGCTGAGCGGAGTACCTGTTGAAGCTGATTCACGTGGGTGGACAATCGCGCTGACTGTTTGTGAAGCAGCAAACGGAAAATTGGTATCTCCGTTGAAAACGTCTGATCCAAGCACACCCCAGGGCGGGAACACAGAAGGGCTGCCTGCAAACGGAGCGTAGACTGGACTCCATGACTTGAGAGGCGTTTGATGAATTGGCGGGAAAACAGCGGACAACGGCTGGGACATGGCCGGCAGAATGACGTCACGGTTGTCTGGCCTCATTTTGGAACCAGGCATCGGTGGGGCTGGTTTATTCTTTATTTCATGCTTTCTCCGTCTCGCGCGGCGGTTTTGGAACCAGACCTGTAAGAGCAGAACAGTGTTCATTTTACTTCACTGTAGTTCGTGAATTGTTTTTATTAGCTAGCNCCCAAGAACACAACACAATGTCCCCGGCCAGGGCTCGAACCCGGACCGCTCGATCCGGAGACGAGCGCACTAACCATGAGGCCACCGCGCCTCCCTCCCATCGCTTATGCGTACCAAAAGTCATTAACATTCAAAATGTTGATTGCAAGTTTTATGTATTTCACAGCAGACAGTTGACAAGTATAAACAAAACCATCGATCATGCTCGACATTACTAATCTAACTTAATCGAACGATTGGGTTCTCGATACATCTAATCGAACTCAATCGAACAAATCAAAAAATCGAAAATCCATCCTTAATACCACCAGATATTTGAACAGTATGCCTCAATTAGTAATTAATCTCTTGGTACGGAAAACACATTGATAAGAAACCTACTATAAAATCGAAAAAATCCTGGAACATTAAATTTAACAGAGAATTGAAAGTTCATTTTACTTCACTGTAGTTCGTGAATTGTTTTTATTAGCTAGCTTATGGAATTTTTAATAATGTTAGAGAGCACACGAGCGACGTCGCCTCCTCCCATTCTCCTCGCGACTTAACCGTTGGTTTTTGTCGACCATTGTTTTTCAATCACTATGCTATCTAGCCTCAAATCGAACGCGATCGAACCTAATCGAACTAACGAACTCAATCGAGCCCGATCTAACTTAATCGAACGTGTAACTCCTAATTGTCACGATTATTATTCAAAGTGTCACGGTAAAGAGATGTAGTACTTCGAATTCAGTCCGCAGAAGACTGAGAAATGATTTCCGTCAAACCTCGCAACATTTTCGAGGTGGGCCAAAGATTCCAACTGACTTTTAATATCTTTTAAAAGTTGTGACAAAACAACAATTGAAATTTGAAAGAAACCGCGCAATAGATAACTTTAGTAAAAGTTAGCCCATTAAAGATTTTCATTCGTGGTCTGGCAAGTTACGAAAGAAAAAGTAACAGCCACGGATGTGAGTAGAAATTCCCTTACGTTTGATAACTTATCTTCAAAGCGGCTTGCGCGCCAATCATTCAATCGTCTTACCTGAATCCTGGCCTCTCCGATGTTAAGTTCGCGTGCAAGGTCCTCGCGGATCCGGATTCCCGGGAACTTCTCGTTTTCGAATGATTCCTCCAGGCGATCGAGTTGTTCGTTTGTAAACGCTGTCCTTCGACGCCTTTGTCTCGATCTGTCATCTTAAAGAAAGAGAAGTTTTAAGTTGCTTTTACGACGTGAGCTAGATATGTGCTTGAAGCAAGTACGCTGTTTATATTGACATTAGGTGGTGTCGGTCTGAATGAGATACCTAATTTTTTTTTACTGGGGAGAGAGACGTGCATTCGTTTCGGCCTTCTCAATAAATTTAAACCATTCTTCAAGCAAAGTATGACGAACGATCGTTGAAAATGGACGGACGTAAATTGACTTAGAGAGCGGAAAACTTCAGAGCACTGCATGCTGTTCGTTTTGATCAATTCTTCTTTTAAACAGATATTTCTATCCTACTGAAAAACCTAAAACTTGCCGATCCCTTGTGTTTAAAACCATTAGTTACTTACATTCACTTTCCGGCGCCGGTCTTTTCGAGTTCTTTCTTGAAGTCATGATGAAACCAATGAAATTTTGAGTTCCGTGGATGCAAGCAGCGAGCAGCGTTCTCAAAACAGCGATAAGTGAACAACAGAGAGACTCGTTCTGTTTTAAGGCATGTGACGCGCGTTGTTTAATAAAAGGGCGGACACACAAAGTTAAACACACAATAAACGTGTTACTGACTTAATTAGCAAACATTTCTCGCCCCCTATTGTTCCTCACTTGTGAGATTTACCGTTGTTATGCACTAACTTGAACCTAAACTGAACTTATTGTTTTCTATTGTTTGGGTTCAACTTGTAAACTTTCTGCACACATCTAATGTGTTTGTGTTAAATTTTTTTAGTTGACAAAATCGTCCAAGTTTATATCGTCTGTTCTCTAAGTTATGATCAAATTCTTTGTAATCAAGTTTAAGTGGTCAGAAATCAAATAACTCGCGTTGAAAATGTATTTACGCGCTCACAGTGCTAAGTAAATACTTTGTTGATGTCTCAAATTATTTCACGCTAGTCTTTTCCCGACACTCCTTTCCTGGTTTTTCTTGGTTTTAGCGTCACTCTCGTTAATTTTAACCACATCAGTGATTAGGCTCTGGGAGAAAAAAAATCGTTTCGCTTTTACATGCAAATACACCTCTGCCTACTTTTTCCATTATAGCTTATACAATACCTTGAGAGGGAAACTTTTTTCGCGTTTTTTTTTTCTTTTTATAACCCCCAAAAAGAGTTTGCTATGAAATCTAACATTTTTCAAAAAGTGAAACTATTCAAACTAATATCTTAAAAAGCGCGCGAGTTATTTACAAAAAAAGGTTTTTCAATAAAAGTCAAAGAACAGTTAGGTGTCATAATCCTCATACGGCGTCGACTTTTTGCGCGAAATGGCTTCATCCGAGAGCTCTTACTACAAGACCCTCGTTGGCATTGTTTTTTGTTTGTTTGTGTTTTTTTTACAGGCCATTTCGCTGTTTCTGTTCTCGATTCAGTTCGCTCTTCCATCTTTTCTATCACTCCATACTGAGGTCATGAGACGTGCTAAAAATAAAGAGAATAGTCCATGGACAGCGAAAAATCAAAGCCAGGACCTAAGAAGAACTCAAAAGCGGAATTTCTCGAGGGCAAGAAGAATCCTTTCGCCAACAGTGACAAAGGATCGTGCATACTCGTACCCATACTCTTTCCACGCTTATTTCTCTTGGTTTTTCCCATTTATCAAGAGCGGCGAAGACTGCTCTATAAACGCACGCTGAAGTTCAACAAGGAGAACGTGATTGTCACACTACTATATTGCCTTAGAATCCCCGCGAAAATCATTTCGCTCGCTGTGAACGCTAGGGGTGCCATAATTTCATTGGTTGGCGGCAAATTCTGTTGACATACATCCGAGTAAAGGCGTGACATGTTTACAACTCTTCATCGGCGATAAAACTCGCACTAGTTTTTCGCGAGAATACCATCTCTTTAATTTTGAATGAATGAGCAGGGTATGTAGGATTGTCAGATTTTCACGCAATTTGGCCAGTGTGTCAGGGATATTTTTATATCATGGCTATTTCTCTTGTGACGGCCGCGAACGAAGGGGGTCGGCAAGTTATTCGTTTCTGTAACTTTACGGGTCTATAAACACCAAGAATACAGAAAAACCCTAACACACTTTGAGAGATTGATGCTTGCTGACTAAAACTGTGCAGTACTTACTTGCGTTTGATCTGTTGATACACGATTAATTCGGCCGAATGATGACAATCGTTTGTTTTCCGTTTCCGGGCGTCTTTCTTCTCAAGAAAGGCACGGCCAAATTAGCGGATATTTTTTTTTTCCCGAATACTACAGTTCATAACCTTTCTATTGATATGAAGTTTGTCGTAGTTTCCCTAAAATAACACAGGTACGAATGTTTTTTGTTCTATAGGACACTCACGAAGGTATTGCCAGTTTTCAAGAATTTTAGCTCACAAGACCTAGAGGCTTATTTGTTTGATTGTTTTGCAGGGCTTCCATGATGGTGTCGTGAAGCTAAAACTGCAGGTCAGTGAACTCGCATTAATTTCTGTTGTCTTCTTTGTTACCACGACAAAATTAATACAGTTATCTCTTTAGCAAGAGCGAGTACAAATAAAGATTGATGGTATTGCCTATCAGTAGCGTACTAAAGCTGGTAACAGTTTATCTATATGAAAAAGGTTTTACGGGCTAAAATAGTGTGCCCGTAATGTAATGATGAGGCAGCTGGGGGTCTGAGACACAGCCTAACCTCTAATAAACGGAAGCCTTTGGGCCAACTTTTGATTGTACTAAAGACGTCTTTAAATCGGTGTTAAGTTAATGGAAACATTTGTATACACATGCGGATTTTTAGGCCAAGTTCACACCAGCGACAAAACGACATAAGAAGGACGTTGGGTCGTTATGTTTGCAATTTGAACATCCTGACATAGTGACATAATACCAACGTAACAGCATGAACATAACGACAAATGGGAAAAAAGCGATCTTTTCCTAAGCCTGGTTCACACTAGCGACATAACGACATAACGACAT